ACCATTTGTTCTGGTAGAACAAATTTTGACATTTATCATCGCATGATCCAATATTGATGTTATTGTGCAATTATGTTCATGATTTACAAGTCATTATTGGTTACCTGAATTTTAATTCGAGATTGTTGTGTTTGTGTAATAACATACAAAAAATAACAAGAAGAAAAAAATTTATAATCATAGGAGTTTGCACGATAACATTTTATATTAGTATAAGTATACTTTGTAATAATTAAATTAAAATGTGGCACGTAGTGACACGTGCGGAGCTAGTTAAATTATATTTCGTTAAAATGAGACTTTCTTGTTAGTAAAATAGGATGATAGTATTATAACTTTGGTGAAATGGTATTTCAGTAAAATTGATTTCTGTAAGTTGACCTGTAATCTCACAAATCACATGCAAATCATGCACAAGATTTTTAGGAAAAAGCTGATTGCCCATCACTAACAGTGTGGTTATATGAAATATTGTTAATAATATAATTCACTCTTTACTTTTACTTCCTGATAATATGTGACAAAATAATACATTATTCTATGATAGTAAATATACCCCAACTCTTTTGTAACAATATTCTTGGCTTCAGTATCTAGAAAAGTAAATAAAACATCAAAAAAGTTAAAATAAACGATGAAAAGAAAAAAACTTAGTTGTCAAGTTAATTGCTTCAAAGAATAATAAGCCAATTCAAACAACAGTACTGACTTAGGTTACAAACAATTAACAAGAATAAGTATAAACTACAAATAAACTTAGAAATGCTTAGGTGAATGAGTTAAAAAAATTTTTTTTTTTGTAAAAACTGAACTAACCTTACATTACAAATTGCAAACCTTAAGTTTTTTTAGCTCTTATTTACTTTTTTAGAAAATGCTGTTTATAACTAATTATTAACTAATTATAAAACTATAGGTTTTCGACTTTCTTTGAATATATCAACTAGTTGTAGTTAAATACCATTTACAGCTTAGCAGATTATTCTAGAAATGTTCTAGAATCGATTTCCATTTTTGCTATATTTCCTGACTGAAATATCTGAAATTAAGCCAATTTTGAATCTATAAGCAATTCATATATATTTACAACATATGAGAAGAAAATTATTTAAAATTTAAAATACATCATTCTTATATAATAAAGCATTATATAACAAAAAATTTCAACAGAGAATAGAAATAACAAAGAAATGCTAAAATAATTTAGACAATATGAAGCCACAATTACTCTATAACTTTGTATATGCATGCATAGCCTACTTGAATTATAGCTGAAAAATCTTGAATATCTATAAGTACTCTTAATTCTAATTCTTTGGTGCTAGTGTCATTTGGTACCAGTCCACTTGAGGTAAGCACATTAAAATCGATTCCCACTTTAATTGGAGAAATATAAAATGTACTGGAATCAGTATGGACAAGATATTGGTCAGATCTGAATCCATATACTGTAGCAATAATCATTCTGTTTTTAAAACCGACAGTTGCATCTTTTCCAGAAGTATTGAAAATAATAATTTGTCCAAAAGTGGGTGGATCAGGTGAAATTATTACAGTAAGATTAGTTCTTAAAGTTTTATTAGGAATTAAACATTGACCAAATTGAGTAGTTCTTTTCTCAAATGGAATAGCAATGGAAACTGAAAGTACGGCCAATAAAATAAATGCAAAAATTTTATATCATTATTTCTTTAGTACAATATTTGGCAAAGATATTTATTTTTTAATTACAATCTTCAGTCAATAATCTTTTATAAGAAATTTCATCTAAATGTATATTATATATATATATATATATAATAAATAAAAACTTTATTTACATTATTTGCAGATTTATTTTAATCCTCTAAAATAAAAAATATAAACTTAAAATTTTTAGTAATAACCAAACTGAATATATTAGTGTATATAAATATAATTAGCGTAGAGTTCCAACCCGGATAAATCTGTTATCCGTTTATTCGTATCTTATTATCCGGAAATCTAATAATTGGATAATCGTATTTATAATTAAACAGAATGAGAAATAATCAATCCTTTCCGAAGAATAATTCATTTTCGTTAATCACTGGTTCGTTATATCCCTATACATGTGTGTCTAAATTATTTTTTTTAAAAAAGCAATTTCGACAAACATTTCGACATTGTTAGTTTTTTTATATGAATTCCACAAAGTAACTATACTACCTAACGTATTTTAACATAAAGAATTCAAATAATTTCACTAAAAATTTTGACAACTATGAAATTTAATTTCGCCATTAAGAAAAATTAATTTCAACAGACTAAATGTCGAAATATTTTTTATTAAGAGGAGTAATTTAGACACCCATGTATATATACCCTATGGTCTACCTATTTTGTACGGATTCAAATATCGAATAATCATTTAATTTAAACTTTAAATCGGATCAATTTTACATAATTGTTGTAGAAATTAGCACATAATTATGTGGCGGCTTCGCCGCTTAGTTGGCTAACTGATTACTGTCATATAAAATAATATATAGTTATTTGGCAAGCATTATCATAGTAAGCTGCCGGATAAACATAATTATTACACAAAAAAATTGTATATTCAACTTTCATTATAGGACTATGTATACATAAATTTGTACATTGTGCACTTAATACCCAGTATAACGATAATAAGTTTCTCAGGTCATACAAGTAGTCGTATGATTAACTGTATTTGACTAATCATTTTTATTTGTATTCTCTTTAATTTGTCTATTCTTATGACTTCATATCGTCAAAGCTAAGCCTGACGTTTTTGTTAAATAAATAGTTTCTAAAAAATTTTGGCCACATTGAATATCACAGAAACTGATTCACAAGATGAGGCCACCTCCGTGGTCACCTCCTCCAGTGGTTTTACATTCATCAGAGTTAGCCTATTGGAATTTGTATTCTATTTTTTTCTGTATAGTCGCTTTGATCGTAAATGACGATTTTTCAGTAAGAATTTAAAACATCCTCGGGTGATATAAATACTTATTTTAATAATAATCAACATAATTATTTGTTAGGATTATTCAAAAGCTTCACTACTCCTTTATTATATTCTTGAGTTATCCATGCGTATACCCATCATTCTTTATTATTTTTGTAAAAATCCAAGAGAATCTTTCCTTTACACTACTCTTCAAAATCCGAGACCTGTGATCTTTGAGAAGTTCTTTGAGATTGTAGCTTTTTTAATTTCTCCATCTAGTGAGTAAAATTCCTTTGCTATAGTAGGATGTTTGTTCGTATACTAAACTGTTCTTTTGCTCCTTTAGCAATCATTTTTATGTATCCTGATTATTCTTATTATACTGCAATTACATTTATCCCAACAGAAGTAATACCATCATATATAGTGTTTAACGCACTGTTTAGAAGCTTTATTATTGAATTTCACTTATTCCGCTTTTTGTGGGAGAAGGGTATTTTCCCATTCACTAGATTGCATCAATGGTTTGGTTGTCTCTATTTTCATATTGATTATCATATTAGTAATACTTTTACCCTAGCATATTATTTAGTTGAAAAACAAAGATATGGAAGAGAATTGTCAAAAAAAAATTCTTGATATTCTTTATAATTTACAAAATATTTTGAATTATGCAAAGATAATCTTTCTTTTGTATTTGCTTCTTAAATATTTTGCTTCATTCTTTTAATGAAAGTTGAAATACAGTAGTTAATAAAACTTACCAATATTATATAAAAATCTTAAGGGATACTCCGTGTTTTGTATACGTGTATTCTTCGCTTACTGCAAACAGAATAAAGCTCCGTGATGTAAGATTTTCATGTATACAATTTTTTTCTTACTCTGATCACCCAGGCCATTGTACTAATTTTTCTGAGAATGTGTTCATTAAAAAAAAACTGATCTATCGCAGTTCAAAAAATGTTAACAAAAAAATTATTGAAGTCCAAGACGGACATTTCGTAATTGTATGAATAAAAATCTATCCTTTTCAGTAGTGACTATGCGTTTGCAAGAAAGCGACTCAAAAGCTTGTAAAGCTAATATCTATTTTTTTTCAAAAATTTTAAGGATTTTATTAGTGGAGAACATAGACTTTTCGGTGAGTTTTAATATTATTAATTTATTTCTGACTCTGCACATAACATGAAAATTGATAACAATTTTATTTTATCAGTGTTAAATCGGATTTGAGTCGAGTGTTGGGAATATTGTACTAGTGTAGATAACTAGACACTGGTGTGGTCTGTGGACATTGTGTCAGTATAGATAATTAAACATCTGTGGACATTACAGTAAAACCTCCATAAATGCACGGCCTTGGGACTGAACTTTAACATTTTCACTGCAAGCAAATCTTGTAATTTATTTTTTATATCAATAAACAAGGTGGCAAGTAAAAATAAGAGTATAATGAAACCTCTATAAATGCACACCCTCTCTAGATGCACGCTCAACCTCTGGCCCAAATATATTATGGCTTCTATAAATGCACTTTTCTTATTGTTGTCTAAATATTAAAGAAATTGGTAAAGGATTATGTGGCTCTGTGTGTTTAGCAACCTAGTTGGATGATATACGAATTTTATGGCAATAATTCTAATTATGTAACCGTTCAGTATCGCTGCACTGAAATTTTATCTGGTTCTTTAAGGAGATGAATTGACAATTTGTCAAATATATAATGAACTAATCTCATTTAGCTTATTAACAAGTCGCTTGAGTTACTTAAAGGGAGTTAGGAATAGAGATGGGGCGCACGTTATATAAAATGCGCATGATATCGCATGATATAATTTTTTTGATTTTATATTTTCCCTCCGGATAATATCGGATATTTGCTAAAAATTTTCCCGACCCTTCTCATCTTTATGTTCATTCATTTTCTTTTCGGAATTTACAAATCCTATTACTTAATTTTGCCTGGCTTATACACCTTGGCCTAAATTAAATACACTTTAATTTTCTATATAAAATTTAGATGGGATAAAATGCGCATTAATGCGCACGATTGAGGAATCATGCGCACGCATGAAACCCATCTCTAGTTAGGAATAATCGTATTGTATTGTATGTACTGATACATTACATATCTGTTCTAGTGCAACTTTTCATTATTGCTTATAGAAAAAAAAAAGGTAGAGCTCCATATTAATTCATATGAAAAATGAATTAGTGTTTAATTTGCAGCCCTCATAAATTATTTGTACAATTTGTGGTGTCTTATATATGCTATGCCTGAAGTTACAAATTCAAGCAAGTATTAACTTAGGCATGACATATACATGTGAACTACATTGCCCACTTAACCGAAAGGCAATTGCAAGTATAGAGCATGGGTTTATCCGCATAATTTATCCGGATATCTGAATGAACTGTTGAGCTAATAGATAAGTTGTCCGGATTTTATAGCTATAACAAGTAAATTATCCGGATAGATTACAGTTGTTCTTATAAATTTGGGACAAACTTAAAATTTGTCGTTTCTCGAAATCTATTCGGTTTCGTCCTAAAGGTCACCTAACTCTTAGGAATCACGTCATTGTCTTCGGAACTTCAGTCTGGAGATAGCGATATATTTTCCGGAGTTAGATGATTCATAGGACGAAACCGTAGAGATTTCGAGAAACGAGCAAATTTTTAGAGTGTCCCAGAATTTATGAGAACAGTTGTAAAGCAGGTATCCAGATTAGTTTAATTAAAATGGAGACGGATAGAGGATGAGCAATTTATTAACAGATATGAATAACAAATGAGCAGATGGGCTACCTGATAAGCTAAATGGATATCTGGGTCATCTGGATCCAAGCTCTACTTTATGTAGTATTACCATTATTCTCAAGCATCCTCCCCTATAGCTAATAAAATAATAATAATCGATCTTATTAAACCACTTCGTCAAAAATCTTGATCCTAATAACTTTTTTATTTTATTTTTTTTTATAGTTATCTTGATTGATTGAATTAAATCTACATTTTGCATAATGTAATTTGGCAAAAATCATTATTATGGATTGCTTTAATTAATTTTGATAAGTCAAAATAATTATGCGTGATTATTATATTTTGGTTAACGACATGTGAAATTATCATAAGACTATTGTGAGTATAAAGAATATTTATTATTGAAAGTAAAAAAAGCAAAACCAAGCTCAAATTAAAAACATGAATATCCATTTACCATTACATATTACTTTTTATTCACATAGTTTTATTTAGTATGTGGCTATAAAGAAAGGTTATTAATTATTGGAATTAAAAAAACTAAAAAAGTTTATAAATCAAAAACATAAAACCTTATTTGCAATTTATGTATTACTCTTCAAATTATTTCATTGTATTAATCATTGTCACGGCTGATGCTGAAATTTTGACTTATTTTATTATGAAATTTTAAAAAATTTTCGGGCCTTTTCGTTAGGGGTTTTTTTTTAGTGTTAGGTTAGGGTTTGAGGGTAGAGTTGTTAGTAAAAAAGTATATGCGAATTTTAGTAGGTATTATTGATTTAAATTGGACCCTAAATTTCAGCATCAGCCAATTTCAGCATCAGCCGCGACAATCATTTTATTCAGCATGTGAGTATAAATAAAGAATGTAAATACTAATTTACCATTGCATATATTACTCTTCAAAATATTTTATTCACATTAATTATTTCGGAGGATAGGGAACTTTATTAATTATTGGAATTAAAACAACTCAAGAACATAAATACCTATTACCATTACATAATAACTTTTCAAATCGGTTTATTCACATTAATTATTTCATCTATAATGAATATTTATAAATTATTAGAATTAAAAAAAGTAATAAATTTATAAATCAAGAACATAAATGATTATTTACCACTATGTATTAATATTCAAATAATTAATTATCTTATTAGGCATTAAGCATAAAGAAAAAACCATTGGAATTAAAAAAGCAAAAACAAGCACTCAAATCATGAATATAAATGCTCTTATTAGGGGTTTCAGACCTAAGGTTCAGGCTTCTGATTTCGGATTAAATTAGTGACGTATTAATTTTGTAATCAGCGATCTATAAATCCTATTTATTTTTATTTGCAAGTCTATTTATATAATAAGATATAATATCTATCATTGAAAAAAAGTTTGTTTTTTTAACTCCTTTTTCATTTCTGATTTCGAAATTTCAAAACAAAAACAGGGCTTTTCAAACTACCACTTATTTTCAAATAAGTTAACTCTGAAACACATTATTACGTATTACTCTTCAAACCATTTTATTTATATTAATCACTTCAATAACAAGCGTAAAGAACATTGTTGATTATTGGAATTAAAAAGAGCAGAACAAGTCACAAATCAAGATCATATAATACAAATTACTTACATAAAAATCAAGAACAAATTGAGTTTACAAATTAAGAGCATACTAATAAATTCACATTACATTAGAAATATCCATGTATATTGATAATGAATAATTATCTTTCTTCATCCTTTTCAACACCAATCCCATATTTATAACAATAACCAAACCTGTAGATTCTGAATCATTCATATTGCCAATTTTTGGTTGTGCAACATATTATGTCTTTTTTAAATGGTAAAAAAAAAAAGCTAATCATAATATGTTAACGTAACTAGGTATTAATTAAACCTATGGGTAAATTTAGTTTTTTTTTCCACAACAAAATAGGCAATCATGACTACAAAACTTAAAAAAATAATGTTATTACGTACTATGAAAGTTTATGCAATCATAACTAATGCCACCAGAACTAGGAAAAATTGCACTGATCGATTTTTAATTTGTGCCGATTGATTTTAAGAATCTAATAATTACTGCATTTATTGTGCTTTGCAAGAATATGTGATCATAATGTCATGTGAATAGGAAATTTAGAATCTCGGAAATTTTCTTCTTTCATCATCACAAAAAACATAGGGTCACATCTTTTTGCAAAGCGCTGTAATCAGGCAGAGCACATTACATTACAAATCAGAGAACAAGTTCACAAGTAATAGGGTGGCTCGGAATTAATGTTCAGGTTTCTGATTTCGAATTAAATTAGTGTTGTATTTGTTTCGATATCAGTGATTCATAAATCTTATTTATTTTGATATGTAAGCTTATTTATATAATGACAATTAATACTTTATGATCGTAAATTTTCTTTCAAAACTTGATATCTTTAACATATATATTTAAATGCCTTATATTTCGACTATTACATGCTGCAAATATATTTTAGAAGTACTA